TCAGAGTACCATAGAGTGTACCTGGATTATGACAGAACACAAGAAGAAAGGATGATACTGAAAGAGAGGGTGCAAAGATGAAAGGAGGAACGAGATGCATTGATGAAGATGAGCAGAACCCAGACTCAGGTGGAAGGGCAAACACACCTCACAGAAACGCCCGTGGAAGGACTCCAACCACGACAACCCCAAAGCAACTGATCAATCTAAACCAAAACCCACACACTGTTCCCTCTGCCCCCACCCCCTATGTCACAAACCCCACCCCTACAGCAGCCCCCTATGGGCACTCTGCCCCCCCATCACAAACCCCACCCAAACTGCAACAACCCCAATGCAACTGAACAAACTAAGCCAAAACCCACACACTGTTCCCTCTCCCCCCACCCCCCAAATCATAAACCCCACCCCTACAGCAGCTCCCCCATGGGCACTCTGCCCTCACCCTCCCCCATCACAAACCCCACCCACACTGCAAACTCCCATAGGCCCCCTCCAAGGCTCCGCTCCCCCAACCACAATATTTTCCCAGGACCACTGTGATAGATAAGAAGTTGAAGGTGTGGTACACAAACACAGATGGATTATCAAATAAATATGAGGAGTGGCATGAAAGAATCAATGAGAAGTCCCCAGACATCATAGCAGTTACAGAAACGAAACTCGTTGAGATGATAACAGATGCAGTCTTCCCACTGGGATATTAGGTCCTGAGAAAAGACAGAAGGAGCAGAGGGGGAGGAGGGGTTGCACTACTCATAAAAAGCCGATGGAGTTTTGAGGAAATGGAAGGCATGGGCGAGACTGGAGTGAGGGACTACATAGTAGCTACAATTCATTCTGGGGAACATAAGGTAGTCATTGCAGTGATGTATAACCCACCACAGAACTGTAGGAGGCTAAGAGAGGAATATGAAGAGAACAAGAGAGCGATGGTGGACACACTGGCTGAGGTGGCACAGAGCTCAATCGTGCAGAGCAAAGTTACTGGTTATGGGTGATTTCAACCATAGAGAGGTTGACTGGGAAAACCTGGAGCCTCATGGGGGTCCTGACACATGGAGAGCCAAGATGATGGATATGGTACTGGAAAACCTCATGCATCAACACGTCATGGACACTACCAGAGAGAGAGGGGAGGATGAACCAGCAAGACTGGACCTTGTGTTCACCCTGAGCAGTTCAAACATTGGGGACATCACATATGAGAGACCCCTTGGAGCTAGCGATCACATGATTCTGAGCTTTGATTACATAGTAGAGCTGCAAGTGGAGAGGGTAACAGAGTCGATTGGGAAAAGCCAAACTATAAAAGGGGGGGACTACACAGGTATGAGGAACTTCCTGCGGGAGGTTCAGTGAGCCAGAGAGCTGGTAGGAAAGTCAGTGAACGAAATGATGGAATATGTAACAACAAAATACAAGGAGGCAGAGGAAAGGTTTATTCCCAAGGGCAACAGAATTAATGGGAAGACCAAAGTGAGTCCTTGGTTTACCTGAAGGTGTAGGGAGGCAAAAACTAAGTGCATTAGAGAATGGAAGAGGTACAGAAGGCAAAGAACCCAGGAAAATAAGGAGATCAGTCGAAGAGCCAGAAACGAGTATGCACAGATAAGGAGAGAGGCCCAGTAACAGTATGAAAACGACACAGCAACAAAAGTCAAGTCTGACCCGAAACTGCTGTTTAGCCACATTAGGAGAAAGACAACAGTCAAAGACTAGGTGATCAGGCTGAGGAAAGAAGGTGGGGAACTCACAAGAAACGATCAAAATGTATGTGAGGAGCTCAACAAGAGATTTAAGGAAGTATTCACAGTGGAGACAAGAAGGACTCTGGGAAGACAGGACAGAGGGGGACACCAACAGGGAATACACCAATAAGTGCTGGATGACATACACACAACTAAGGAGGAGGTGAAGAAGCTGCTAAGTGACCTTGATACCTCAAAGGCAATAGGACCGGACATTTCCCCGTGGGTTCTTAGAGAGGGAGCAAAAATGCTGTGTGTCCCATTAACCACAATCTTCAACACATCCCTTGAAACTGGGCAACTACCTGAGGTATGGAAGATGGCAAATGTAGTTCCCATTTTTAAAAAAGGAGACAAAAAAGAGGCGCTAAACTACAGACCAGTGTCACTGACGTGTATAGTATGCAAAGTCATGGAGAAGATTATCAGGAGAGTGGTGGAGCACCTGGAACAGAACAAAAGTATAAATGACAACCAGCATGATTTTATGGAAGGCAAATCCTGTGCCACAAACCTTCTGGAGTTTTATGATAAAGTAACAGAAGTAAGAGATGAGAGAGAGAGGTGGGTTGATTGCATCTTCTTGGACTGCAAGAAGGCCTTCGACACAGTTCCTCACAAGAGATTAGTGCAGAAACTAGAGGATCAGGTGCATATACTGGGAAGGGCACTTCAATGGATCACAGAATACTTGACAGGGAGGCAACAACGAGTCATGGTACATGATGAGGTATCACAGTGGGCACCTGTGATGAGCGGGGTCCCACAGGGGTCGGTCCTAGGACCAGTGCTATTTTTGGTATATGTGAATGACATGATGGAAGGGATAGACTCAGAGGTGTCCCTGTTCGCAGATGATGTTAAGTTAATGAGGAGAATTAAATCAGATGAAAATCAGGCAGGCCTTCAAAGAGACCTGGACAGGCTGGACACATGGTCCAGCAACTGACTTCTCGAATTCAACCCTGCCAAATGCAAAGTCATGAAGATCGGAGAAGGGTAAAGAAGACTGCAAACAGAGTATAGGCTAGGTGGCCAACGACTGCAAACCTCACTCAAGGAGAAAGATCTTGGCGTGAGTATAACACCGAACACGTCTCCAGAAGCACACATCAACCAGATAACTGCTGCAGCATATGGGCACCTGGCAAACCTGAGATTAGCATTCCAATACCTAAGTAAGGAATCTTTCAAGACACTGTACACCGTGTATGTCAGGCCCATACTGGAGTATGCAGCACCAGTCTGGAACCTGCAAGCACGTTAAGAAATTAGAGAAAGTGCAAAGGTTTGCGACAAGGTTAATTCCAGAGCTAAGGGGAATGTCCTATGAAGAAAGGTTGAGGAAAACCGGCCTGACGATAGTGGAGGACAGGAGGGATAGGGAAGACATGATAACGACATACAAAATACTGATTGGAATAGACAAGGTGGACAGAAGCAAGATGCTCCAGAGAAGGGACACAGAACCAAGGGGCCACTCTTGGAAGTTGAAGGCTCAAATGAGTCACAGGGATGTTAGGAAGCATTGAGTGGTCAGGAAGTGGAACAGTCTGGTGAGCGATGTAGTGGAGGCAGGAACCATACATAGCTTTAAGACGAGGTATGATAAAGCTCATGGAGCAGGGAGAGAGAGGATCTAGTAGCGTTCAGTGAAGAGGTGGGGCCAGGAGCTGAGTCTCGACCCCCTGCAACTACAATTAGGTGAGTACAATTAGGTGAGTGCACCACACACACACACACACACACACACACACACACACACACACACACACACACACAAACAGCACACACACATACACAAACAGCACACACACACACACACACACACACACACACACACACAAACAGCACACACACACACACACAAACAGCACACACACACACACACACAAACAGCACACACACTACAACACCTAACCTATGTGTCTGTCTGAGTGCCTCAGGGTGATTCTCCCTCTTCCTCTTCCCCCCCTTCCCACTCTCTCCACTTCTCCATCACTCTGTCCCCTTCCCTCCCTCTCCCCATCTCTCTCTCCCCCTTAAATCTCCCCTCCCCCAAACACGCACACACAAACAGCACACACACACACTACAACACCTAACCCATAATAACAATGGTGGCTCAGAGAGAAAGTTGAAGGCTCAGGGGTTCAAAGGAAGATGATTCTGGTAAGGAAGAATGGATGGAAGAGCAATGTAAAAGAATGGAACAAGGGTGGGAGAGCAAACTTGGTGAGTTTTCTGCAAAAATGGAGAAAAGGATGGAGGTGGAGAAGAAGAAATGGGAGTCATAAGCTGAAGCTGCACAAGCCAGGATATGGGCCCTAGAATATGAGGTAAATTGGCTGAAATAAGTCACAGAGCTATTGCCCAGAGGAGACCTAGCATATGAAGCAGGTACGCCCTTACTGAACGAGGAGCCCAACGGAGAGGAAGGAGACATGACTTACACTAAGGCACTATCAGTAGACCAAGCAGGGCCAAGGAATGAAGGGGGAGAGATGTTAGAAGTAGGGATAGCAGTAAGGGAGGAAGGAGAAGGTGGAGAGGGGGATAGACCCCATGCCGAGGCACAATCATGTCACCAAGAGATGAAGGAAAAAAATGAGGGAGACAATGGCCATGTACAAACAGGACCCAGATGGAAAGGCAACGGGAGGAGGAGAGAGAGAATTCAGTGTTCATTCATGGGCTTCATGAGAGCAAGGGGAGGACACACAATGAAAGATGACATGAAGAAAAACAGGAGATTGAAAACAACATCAGAGAAATAGGCAAGGAGGACATAACCGAGACAGTAAATTTTCAGAGAATTGGGGGGTACTTGAAGGGAAGAAATCGGCTGGTCAAACTGATTTTCAAGACAGAAAAGGTGTGGAACAGGATCCTGCAAGAGAAACCATGGCTGAAGGAATTATCTACAAGAAGGTGTTCCTAGACTGAGACAGAACAAGAACAGAACAACAGAAACTGAGGGAAAGGACACAGAAATGAAAGGGGCTAGGAAGAGACAAGGAGAGAGTCAGCAGAGGACAACTGGAGCAGGGCAGAGCAACAAGCGCAAGCACACACACAACCACCCCCAGAACCCCACAACCGAACACGCTATCCCAACACAAACCACAATCAACACCTACAGCCCCCACCCCACACTATGCTGTAGAATCCCACAGCGCACTGCCAGGTCCCCAGCCCTCACAGACCCCAAGAACACAGTGCTGGAGAGGAAACTGAAGGTATGGTACACCAACGCTGATGGAATAATGAACAAGTGGGAGTAGTGGCACAAAAGAGTCAAAGAGACATCACCAGACATTACAGCTCTCACAGAAATCAAGCTCACAGGAATGATAACATATGCCATCTTTCCAATGGGATATTAGACCCTGAGGGAAGATGGAGGGGGATAGAGGAGTGGCACTGCTCATCAAAAACCAATGGGATTTTGATAAGCTGGACAGAGGAGACAGAGGAGAAGCAGTGATGTACAACCACCACAGAACAGCAGGAGGCCAAGGCAAGAGCATGATGAGAGTAATAGAGCAATGGTTGACACACCAGCTGAAGTGGCTAGAAGGGCTCATGCAAGCAGGGCAAAGCTGCTGATTATGGATGACTTCAATCACAAGGAAATCGACTGGGAGAACCTGGAGCCACATGGGGGCCCAGAAATGCGGAGGGCTAAGATGATGGTGGTGGTACTGGAAAACCACCACCAGAGAGATGAGAGGATTAACCAGCAAGACTGGACCTAGTATTCACCTTGAGTAGTGCAGATATTGATGACAACATATGAAAGACCCCTTGGGGCCAGTGACTACATGGTTCTGAGCTTCGAATACAAAGAGTTACAAGTGGAGAGGGAAGCAGGAAGGGTAGGATGAATGAAGCCAAACTACAAGAGGGAGGATTACATAAGCATGAAGAATTTCCTGCACGGGGTTCAGTGGAACAGAGAACTGGCAGAGAAGTCAGTAAACGAGATGATGGCATATGTGACAAAAATATGCAAGGAATCTGAGAAGAGATTTGTACCCAAGGGTAACAGAAATAATGAGATAGCAAGGATGAGTCCTTGGTTCACCCAAAGGTGTAGAGAAGCCAAAACCAAGTGTGCTACATAATGAAAGAAGTACAGAAGGAGAATAAAGAGAGCAGTTACAGAGCCAGAAATGAATATGAACAGAAAAGAAGGGAGCCCCAACGACAATACGAAAATGGCAGCTAAAAATGACATAGCTGTCGTACAGTCACATCAGGAGGAAAACAACAGTCAAGGACCAGGTAATCAGGATGAGGAAGGAAGGAGGAGAGATCACAAAAAACAACAGCATAGTATGTGAGGAGCTCAACATGAAATTCAAAGAAGTGTTCACAGAGGAGACAGAAGGAACTCCAGAAAGACAGAGAGGTGGGGTACACCAACTGTTTGACACAATATATACAACCAAGGAAGAAGTGAAGGGGATGCTAAGTGAGCTAGATACCTCAAAAGCAATGTGGCCAGATAACATCTCTCTGTGGGTCCAGAGAGAGGGAGCAGAGGTGCAACGTGTACTACAACAACAATCTTCAACAAATTTATCAAAACAGGGTGACTACCTGAGCAATGGAAAACGGCAAATGTAATCACAGTTTTTATAAAAGGAGACAGACACAAAGCATTAAACTACAGACCAGTGTCACTGACATGTATAGTATACAAAGTCATGGAGAAGATTATCAGGAGAAGAGTGGTAGAGCGACAGCCAGCACGGTGTCAGGGACGGGAAATCCTGTGTCAGAGAGAGAGAGAGAGAAGGGAGGGGAGGTGAGGTGAGGTGAGGGGAGGGAGGGAGAGAGGGAGGGAGGGAGGGGAGGGGAGTGAGGGGAGGGAGGGGAGGGGAGGGGAGGGGAGGGAGGGAGAGGAGGAGAGGAGAGAGAGGAGAGGAGAGAAGAGAGAGGAAGAAAGAGAGAGGAGAGGAGGAGAGGAGAGGAGAGGAGAGAGAGGAGAGAGGAGAGGAGAGGGGGAGGGAGGAGAGGAGAGGAGGGAGGGAGATGTGAAGTTGATGAGAATAATTCAATCGGACAAGGACCAGGCAGAACTACAAAGGGATCTGGACAGGCTGCAGGCCTGGTCCAGCAACTGGCTCCTGGAGTTCAACCCTACCAAGTGCAATCATGAAGATTAGGGAAGGGCAAAGAAGACTGTAGATGGAGTACAATCTAGGGGACCAGAGACTACAAACCTCACTCAAGGAAAAGGATCTTAGGGTGAGTATAACACCAGGCACATCTCCTGAGGTGCACATCAACCAAATAAATGCTGCAGCATACGGGCACCTAGCAAACCTAAGAACAGCATTCCAACGTCTCAATAAGGAATCATTCAGGACCCTGTACACCGTGTACATACAAAGTGGTGTTGCATACTCCAGTATGCAATACCAGTTTGGAATCCACACCTAGCCAAGCACATGAGGAAACTAGAGACTGCAAAGGTTTGCAACAAGACTAATCCCGAAGCTAAGGGGCATGTCCTACGAGAAGAGGTTAAGGGAAGTCGACCTGACAACACTGGAGGACAGGAGAGATGGGGGGATGTGATGACAACATATAAAATACTGAGATGAATCGACAAGGTGAACAGAGACAGGATGTTCCAGAGGTGGGACACAGCAACAAAGGGTCACAGTTGGAAGTTGAAGACTCGAATGAATCACAGGGATGTTAGGAAGCATTTCTTCAGCCACAGAGTTGTCAGGAAGTGGAATAGTCTGGGAAGTGATGTAGTGGAGGCACAAAGAGGTGGGGCCAGGAGCTGTGACTCAACCCCTGCAACCACAACTAGGTGAGCACAAACACACACACTTATCTATCAGTATTTTACAACTCTTGATCCACATTACACACATGTGAAACAAAACCATCCTTTGTACACTTACTTTTTATATAAAACAACTTGTTTGTAAATGAAAATAATAGACATTAACTTGTAAGCAATTTCATAACTTCCCATATTTAAGAAAGTAAAAGCTGGGTAAGAATGTAGTACCTTCTTATAAGTAGCTTGCGTAGCAGGGAGAGGCATGTGATGATAGGTTGGACGTGGCTCCACCTCACACTCAACTTTTATTGGAGGAATCCTGGCAGCATAGTACTCATCGTCAGAACCATAACCAGACCCGGCAAAATCTTCATCATCGCTGATGGTGGGACCAAGCTCAACATTTACCTGAAAATGTGGTAGAGTACAGGAATACTGCGCAATTTTATATTTGCCAAGACAATAAATTAATATGTGTTCTTGAATATTACAATCTTTAACACCCTACTTTCCAACGAATTGTTTGGGAGTCCTGATGACCTTTGCATTTCCAGTCAATGATTACAGGAAGACCTGCACCTCTAACTGCAGCTATGCCACATTTTGGTGAGGTGTGATTGTTGGGTAGTCACACACTGTTAGGTTTCTTAACCCTTTCACTGTCTCCCACACAGACATACATCATGTTGTGCATACTAAGGGGCTTTCTGCATGCACACCTAAATGTCACCCATCTCTGTACAAACATTGTATCATGCTAAAATAAAGAATCTTTAATCTGTATGTGAGTGACACCAGTGTCACTCACATACATCTACATTTTAAACACAGTGCCCTCAAATATACTGCCTGGTCATGAGAGAATGCAGTGCATGATAGGAAAGCAAACATCTGACCTTGTGTTTAGTTTGAAACAGGGACTTTAGCCCGTAAACGGTCCAAGCAGATCTACGTTCACATGTGTAGTGCTACAAAAGTAGATCTAAGTTTTTTTTTACATATTTTCAAATATAACAAAAAAAAAGAAGTAGATCAAAGTTTTTTTACACATTTTCAAATGTAGAAAAACAAAAAGAAGATCTACTTTTTTTACATACTTTCAAATGTTGAAAAAACGTATATATACGTTTGGACCGTTTACGGTTTAAGGTGTTGTCTAGGCTGCTTTTATGGTTTTTATTGATTATTTCTTGTCATCATTTAACAGACTGGAAGACTAGTGAAATAACGCTCAAAGTGCTGGGAATATTGGATTTTTGACAGTTTTCCTAAGGAAGGGTTGGCCTAAACCATGACTAATCATTCTTGGTTACAATTATTATCAAATAGAATAAAACTTCATTTTTTTTATGTGATGAGGGATTCAAAATGGAAGGCAAATGTTATATAGGAGAGACCTTATGAACAGAGGAATGGTCATTTTGATGGCTGGAATGCCTACAGTGTTTACTTTATACTTTTTTAAATTGGAATTTGTTGAAATTTGACCAAATTGTTGATTTCTGTGCACTTTACAGGATAGTTCTTACAGTTGAATGGGAACTTTCTTGTATTCAGTTGCAGAAAGGAAGGCATACTAGCGAAATACCTAGGAATTGGGTTGAATTACGCAATGGAATTGGCTTAAAGTACGACTCAAAGTGGGAAAAATTACTGCTACATAAATTGTGTCCAGACTGTCAACTTTGCACCTGTGTAATTATGCAAGCTTTCCACAGATTTTTGCATTTTTGCTGGTATTACTTTCAGAAAAAGACTACCATTTCAGAAAATTAAAGGTTTTGGGGGCAGGGAATTGTGACACTGTCAGCACTTTTAATTTGGGGGGGGGGTTATGACAGTGAAAGGATTAATCATTTACAGTAAACTACTGTAGGAATTGATAAATTAGACACATGTGCATTCATCTGCAATACTGTAGGAATTACATTCTTGAGATCTGGCAAGTAAAGAATATACAGGAAAAAACTGGGCTACATCCAAACATCTCAGTATAAGAACAATCTACAAAATACAGATACATGGATGTTGTATATGCATCTAGTTTATCATCTTGTCGGTACTGTATACCATTGATATATTAGTTTTTGGAGATGTTTAGGTGACTACTACTGAGCAGTAGATGGTTGTGAGATGTCTGTTTATGCTTAATCAGCTGAGAGCTTTGAGTCAGTTGTGTGTTGAGGTTAGGAAGGCCACTATAACATACACCATATTGAGCCAGTCAGCAACCAGCTCTTCCCAACACCATATTAAGCCAGATTCAGCAACCAACTCTCCCAGCACCATTCTGAGCCAAAATCAGCAACAACTCTCCCAATACCATATTGAGCTAGAGTCAGCAACCAGCTCTCCCAACACCACATTGAGCCAGAGTCAGCAACCAGCTCTCCCAACACCATACTGAGCCAGAGTTGGCAATGAGCTCTCCCAACACCATACTGAGCCAGAGTCAGCAACCAGCTCTCCCAACACCATACTGAGCCAGAGTCGGCAACCAGCTCTCCCAATACCATATAAATCTCTGGACAGAAAAGTTTTTGTGCCTGTACCAATTTTATAAAACTTTGCAGAGTTCTGGTGTTTATAATAATCTTATCCTTAGACAACATTATATTAAATATAGAATTCAGACAATTTAATTATATTAAACTCAGAAATGTATTCAAATAATCTAACCTCAACTACAGAATGTCAGGTATTTTTAAGTTCTGGTTTTAGTCTGCTTGAAATGCTTTGCATAACCAAGGACTTTCCATAATGTATGAGAGGGTATAAAGCACAGTATACAGATGAACTCCTTATCCTTTGACATACTCATATAACATATGAGAGGGCATGAAGCACAGGATATAGATGAACACCTTATCTTGACATACTCACATAATGTATGAGAGGATATGAAACACAGGATATAGATGAACACCTTATCTTGACATACTCACATAATATATGAGAGTGCATGAAGCACAGGATATAGATGAACACCTAATCTTGACATACTCACATAATTGATATAAGTGGTTTGGTAGGAGGAGCTCCGTCGCAGAAAGTTGCACCGGTCAAACTTTTCCTTTATGACAATGTGAGAGACATTCATGAGAGCCGAGCATGAGAGGTCTCCCAGGGACATGGTGATTCCTCCGACATGATCAGAGATGTACACTGGAATGGCAACTGTCATAGACTCTTCATCACAGCTCACTGATAAGCCAGCCTGTATAACTGCTGCAACATCTTCTGCATACACTGAAAACAAAAATAGTCTTAATTACCATTAGAGTTGTCCAATTTATGATTGTAAGTTAAGGAAGATAGAATATTATTGAAAAATGCTACACAGTACAATCACTACATCTCAAACACCATTACTATACAGTAATACAGCCTACGAAGAAATCATTCACTTCTCTATTGTCAAGGAATGATCTACACATCAATCAATATCTTATGAGAGAGACAAGGGAGAGGGTATGGTAAAGAATAATGGTAAGGGAGTGATAGTTAAGGTGGGAGTAAGGGACATGGAGAGGTTGAGGGCTAGAGAAAAAAATGGTCAGGGAGAGGAAACAATGAGAGAAATAGGAAGCAAGACAGGGTGAGAGAGCAAAAAGTTAGGATGAGGGAGATGGGAATGGTAGCTACTAGCTACATTCTAGATATAGAGAATAGCTTGCACACTGACTCACTCTACAAGTATATGGTAAAGAGAAAGCAAAACAGTGAGCAATAGAGGTGACATACATGTATGTAGCGTTGGATGGAGGGAGCAAAGGACAACAGTGAGGGTATCTACATTAACTACTCTAGAGAAATTTAGAACAAATTCCTCAGAAACTAGAATGGAAAATAAAAACAAACTCCTACTCAATAAAGTGATACGAGGGACTTATGAGTGAAAATGTCACATCTTACAGTCAAGGCAGTCAAGAATCATAACTGTTACTATAACTTCTGCAAGGAAAATGATAGACTAAATAACTAGAACCTTTAAAATAAACGATGTCATGCCAATGATAATACAGTGGACCCCGGCATATAATATTAATCCGTTCCTGAGAGCTCATCGTATGCCGAAATTATCGTAAGGCGCATTAATTTTCCCCATAAGAAATAATGGAAATCAAATTAATCCGTGCAAGACACCACAAAGTATGAAAAAAAAAATTTTACCACATGAAATATTAATTTTAATACACACAAACTGACACTTACCTTTATTGAAGATCTGGTGATGATTGATGGGATGGGACGAGGGGAGAGTGTGGAAGTTGTTAATGTTCAGAAGGGGAATCCCCTTCCATTAGGACTTTAAGTAGCACATCCTTTTCTGGGGTTACTTCCCTTCTTTTAATGCCACTAGGACCAGCTGACCATAGTGCAGCAACAGTTGACTTTGGTGCAGCAGCAGCTGACCATGGTGTAGCAGCAGCTGACTGTGATGCAGCAGCAGCTGACCGTGGTGCAACAGCAGCTCACCGTAGTTCAGCAACAGCTGACTGTGGTGCAGCAACAGCTGGCTGTGGTGCAGCAACAGCCGACTGTGGTACGATAGTATGCATTTCCCACCCTTTTTACATACGATCGCTTAAGAGATGGTATCTCCTGCTATCTGTTTTTCGTTTATCCACACCAATAACAGTCTCTCAACATCTTCGAGTAGTACTTGTGATCTCTGTTTCGAAAACAAACTTGCACCTTTTGCAAGAACAGCTTCCTTGATTGCCGTTTTGTTGGCCACAATAGTAACGATGGTTGACTGGGGTTTGGTATACAACCTGGCCAGCTCCGAGACACACACTCCACTTTCGTACTTAGCAATTATCTCTTTCTTCATTTCCATAGTAATTTTCACCTTTTTTACCGCACGGTTGGCACTAGAAGCTTTCTTGGGGCCGATGGTGACTTATTTTGCAGGTACAATCACTAAAAACGCTGTGATAATATGAAATGTACCAATTGTATGCGTGGATGCGACTGCACTGGCTGGCTTGTAAACACTGGCACGCATGGGACAGCTGAGGACACACATGGGATGTGTCCCGGACGAATCGCGTGTGGCGAGGCAAAATTTGTCCGTTAAAATGCCGGATTTAACGTATGCCGATGCCATCGTATGCCGGGGGCCCACTGTGCTCTTTAATTTACTTATTCACTCGAAATTGGAATACTTGTGAAAGCTAAACCCCTTTCAAGGCATACACAATAGCAGATCTAGAAAATCTACGGAGAATCTTTACTGTCTATATAAATTCTGTCAAGCACCTAAATTATTGGGAATATCTGAGGTCTCTTGACTGTACTCCCTGGAACACAGACAAGAAAGATACATTGTAATTTACAAATGGAAAATTCTAGAGGAATTGGTCCCAAATCTGTACACCAAAATCTCCCCCAACAAAAGTAAGAGGCTTGGTAGATGGTGCAAATACCCCATGTGACAAAGTAGGAGTGCAGTGAATACACTAAGAGAACTCAATAAGTATAAAGGAGCCAAGACTTTTCAACATCCTCCCTTTATACATAAGGGGAATTACCAACAAACCTTTAGTAGCTTTCAAGAGGGGTTAAGGCCTATTCTCTATATTAATAGATGTATCTATAGACAAAAAAATACTTTTGAATTATAATTCGCTTCAAAAAATTTAATAGCATTTATTATATAACTAAAAACCAATTATACAACAGTATTAATGTAATAATATTTTTTCACACTGGTGGCCTCCCACCAAGGTAGGATTACCCAAAAAAAAAAGAAATGCATTTACCATCATTCATTCATTCCAGAAGTGAACTGACAATGCAAATCAGCTGGCCCTCCAGACTGCAACATCCTCACCTCTCCTTCAGTGCAAACACTGTATCTCCCACCTCCAGGACTCAAGTTCAGCTAAGCAGACTTCATAAATGTTACCTTGCTCACATTCCAACAGAACATCAAGCTATAAAAACCATTTGCCACCACTTATATATAATACACTTACAGAAGCCTGTTGGATGTTCAGGCCCCTAGCACTCAAAATCTCCATTATCCCCATTCTCATTCTCTCTCTCATTCTCATTCTCTCTCATTCTCATTCTCCATTCCCTTTCTCTCTCTCCATTCTCATTCTCTCCATCATTCTCAGTTCTCCTCTCGTTCTTTCATTTCTTTTCCATTCTCATTCTCTCTGTCTCATTCTCATTCTCTCACTCACTCACTTTCCTCACTCTCACACTCACTCTCTCACATCTCTCTCTCACACATCCTCACACTCCCTCTCTCACACTCTCTCTCTCTCACACTCTCTACACACACTCACTCCTCTCTCACACTCTCACACACTCTCTCTCTCACACTCTCTCTCTCACTACTCTCACACTCTCTCTCTCACTTCTCTCTCCTCTCTCTCTCCAACACTTCCCGAGATGACCCCTGCACCTCCTTCTCATCCCCTAGATTTATACATTCTTTTATTCATCCTATCTTGCTCCATCCTCTCTAAATCCTCACACCACCTCAACAACCTGTCCTCAGCTCTCTGAATTATACTTTTGGCAACCTTACACCTTCTAATCCCCAAGCTCCAAATTCTCAGCAAAATATTCATGACACATTGCCTTCAAATATGACATTGCTACTGGAACATTTACAGCCTATGCTTCACACCCATACAATAGTGTTAGCATCACTATACTCTGGTACATTCCCCTTTTCGCATCCATGGATAAAGTTCTTTGTCTCATTGTACCACCTACCTTCCCCCCCCTCATCTATCCTATGGTTCACCTCATCTTTCATAGACCTACTTCCCTCATCACACTACCTTCCTTGCACCCTTTATGGCCGGTAATATAAGATAACCTACCACCTATTCCATACATTTGCCACACTGTTTCCCTATCCACTCTATCATAAATCTAAATCCATAAATGTAGCAAAAAAGTTCCCTACATTTATGGGAGAATTGTTCACTTACATACTTCAATATAAACAAATGGTCTATACATCACTTACCATTCCAAAATCTTCCTTGTTCTATCTGCAATCCTAATTATTATTTTACCCTCAAGTTAATGATGTCTTCTTTGCCCTCTGTCAATGTCAACATACTCTCTTTTCTTCTTACCCTAAAGACTTTCTTTTAATTCTAGCATACACTTTGCCCAGTATATTTAAAAGGCTTAATTTCCTATAATTTTTTGTACTCGCTTTTTCTCTCTTTCTTGTCCCCTTTTGCTCTTTGCCAATCCTTAGTTACCTTCCATTCCTTCATGCATATATGGTACAGTACTGAACAAATCCATCATTCACTCTGAAACTACATCTCCACATGTTTGCAACATCTGTCTTAATCCCAGATGTCTCAGCTGCCTCACACATTTCTCCCACACTTACATCTGGCTCTTTCTTACCCCTATTAAATATTATTCCTCCATGCCCAATGTTAACTGAAAATATTCTCTCCATCTTCCCAGTAACTCCACCTGTCTGTCAAACATCCCCCACCTCTTTCATTTATGATTACCTTGCCCATTTGCTCTCCAGGCTTTCTGAACTTATTAATCTCCTTCCAAAAATCTTCCTTATTGTCAGCCAAATTTGCCAACAGAGCCTCACCCATTCTCTCACTAGCACTCTTTTTCCACTCCTTCACTGCTCTCTTTTAACCTCTCTTTTCTCTTCATCAACCCTGCCTTCCAAACGTTTCTACATTGTAAAAAACTATTACATGCCAACTTTTTTTTTTTACCTTGCCACCCTCTTTAACTCATCAGTTTACCAATCATTACTTTCCTATCCACACTTGCTCTCTTATACTTACAAACTATTTCTGCACACTCTAGCACTACATTCTTTAATTTACTTCATACCTCTTCGACCTCCCTCTCATTACCTGCACTCTTCCTAGCCCACCTTTCTCCCCTGTCTCCTTTTTCAGTTCATTCACTATCATTTCTCTCTCACCAACTGATGCTATTCTCTTTTTACTCCATCTACCTCTTACTGTCACATATTTTCAACATCGTGCTCTGTAGCATGGTAACTCACGGATCAATAGGTGACATGACAGTCCAGTAAGTACTACTGCCATCTGCTGCCCAGTGTTAAAAATCTGAAGATCAACATGCATAAGCTGACAGCTCATATGATAAGCTTTCTTTATTCAAGGCACAATGGCACTTATTAGGAACTACCAAAGAGATGCATGATGACGAGAAAGGGTTCAAGCAAAGTCCATATCAGTAATTTTTATTACCTTTGATTTACTTGTGACCTCTTTCTGGAGTTTTCCTACTCCCAGAGCCAGTCCTCCCTGCTGATTAACTGGTCAACCAGGCTGCTATTGCTGGAGACCCATCAGCCTGGATGATCTGGCTTGCTGTGGAGGTAGTTATCTAGTTTCTTCTTGAAGACTTCTACAGGAGGCCTGCTGGTAGCAGGCTGAAAAGTCTAGGACCACGCATGCTGATACTGTACTTTCCTATTGTGCCACTGACTTCCCTACTTTCCACTGGGTCTATTTGACACTCCTATATCTCTCACTCCAGCACATTGCTATGGCAGTGTGCAGATTTGGGATCAAGCCCTCAATTTAACTCTATTTTTGTTTTATGTGATATACACTAACCATATTTTCTACTCTGCTTAATATATAAACAATTTTCAATATTAACCACTTCAAAAATAAAATTTATTCACACAGTACCTGTTGGCTGCTCATCTGGTATGAAAGATGACACTACATGATTTTCTGAAAGTAAATTAAGCAATGTATTACTAGATAGTGAGAGAGTAACTGTGGTAGGGGACATATATGCTAAAGTAGGAGAAGCATTTAGAGAGGGTGTGGTAGGTAAGTTTGGGGTGCCAGGTGTAAATGATAATGGGAGCCCGTTGATTGAACTTTGTATAGAAAGGGGTTTAGTTATAAGTAACACGTATTTTAAGAAAAAGAGGATAAATAAATATACAAGATATGATGTAGGGCGTAATGACAGTAGTTTGTTGGACTATGTACTGGTAGATAAAAGACTGTTGAGTAGATTTCAGAATGTACATGTTTATAGAGGGGCCACAGATATATCAGATCACTTTCTAGTTGTAGCTACAGTGAGAGTAAAAGGTAGATGGGATACAAGGAAACAGAAGAAGCAAGTAAGAGAGAGGTGAAGGTTTATAAACTAAAAGAAGAGGCAGTTAGGGTAAGATATAAACAACTATTGGAGGATAGATGGGCTAGTGAGAGTATAGGCAATGGGGTCGAAGATGTATGGGGTAGGTTTAAGAAGTTTGCGGTTACAGGAAAGTGCGTGCGGGAGGGAAGAAGAGCGACTGATGGAATGATGATGTAAAGAAAGTAGTAAGGGAGAAAAAGTTAGCATATGAGAGGTTTTTATAAAGTAGAAGTGATGCAAGGAGGGAAGAGTATAAGGAGAGAAAAAGAGAGGTTAAGAGAGTGGTGAAGCAATGTAAAAAGAGAGCAAATGAGAGTGGGTGAGATGTTATCAACAAATTTTGTTGAAAATAAGAAAAAGTTTTGGAGTGAGATTAATAAGTTGAGGAAGCCTAGGGAACAAATGGATTTGACAGTTAAAAATAGAAAAGGAGAGTTATTAAATGGAGTGTTAGATGTATTGGGAAGATGGAGGGAATACCTTGAGGAATTGTTAAATGTTGATGAAGATAGGGAAGCTGTGATTTCATGTATAGGGCAAGGAGGAATAACATCTTGTAGGAGTGAGGAAGAGCCAGCTGTGAGTGTGGGGGAAGTTCCTGAGGCAGTGGGTAGAATGAAAGGGCGTAAGGCAGCTGGGATTGATGGGATAAAGATAGAAATGTTAAAAGCAGGAGGGGATATAGTTTTGGAGTGGTTGGTGCTATTATTTAATAAATGTACAGAAGAGGGTAAGGTACCTAGGGATTGGCAGAGAGCATGCACAGTTCCTTTGTATAAAGGCAAAGAGGATAAAAGAGAGTGCAAAAATTATAGAGGAATAAGTCTGTTGAGTTCTAGGTAGTAGGCTGGTAGACAGCAACCGCCCAGGAAGGTACTACCGTCCTGCCAAGTGAGTGTAAAACGAAAGCCTGTAATTGTTTTACATGATGGTAGGATTGTTGGTGTCCATTTTTCTGTCTCATAAACATGCAAGGTTTCAGGTACGTCTTGCTACTTCTACTTACACTTGGCCACACTACACATACATGTACAAGCATATATATACACACCAATCTGGGGTTTCTTCTATTTTCTTACTAGTTCTTGTTCTTGTTTATTTCCTCTTACCTCCATGGGGAAGTGGAACAGAATTCTTCCTCCGGAAGCCATACGTGTTGTCAGAGGCGACTAAAATGCCAGGAGAAGGGGCTAGTAACCCCTTCTCCTGTATATATTACTAAATGTAAAAAGAGAAACTTTCGTTTTTCTTTTTGGGTCACCCTGCCTTGGTGGGATACAGCCGGCTTGTTGAAAAAAAAAAAAAAAAAAAGTCTGTTGAGTATACCTGGTAAAGTGTATGGCAGAGGTATTATTGAAAGAATTAAGAGTAAGACAGAGAGTAGGACAGCAGATGAACATGGAGGCTTTAGGAAAGGTAGAGAGTGTATAGATCAAATGTTTATAGTGAAACATATAGGTGAACAGTATTTAGATAAGGGTAAAGAGGTTTATGTGGCATTTATGGATTTGGGAAAGGCATATGACAGGGTGGATAGGGGGGCAATGTGGCAGATGTTGCAGGTGTATGGTACAGGAGGTAGGTTACTGAAAGCAGTGAAAAGTTTTTATGAGGATAGTGAGGCCCAGGTTAGAGTATGTAGGAGAGAGGGAGATTATTTCACAGTAAAAGTAGGCCTTAGACAAAGATGTGTGATGTCACCATGGTTGTTCAATATACTTATAGATGGGCTTGTAAGAGAAGTGAATGCTTGGGTCTTGGAAAGAGGTGTGGAGTTAAAAGATAAAGAATCAAACACAAAGTGGGAGTTGTCACAGTTGCTCTTTGCTGATGACACGGTGCTTTTGGGAGATTCTGAAGAGAAGTTGCAGAGATTGGTCGATGAATTTGGTAGGGTATGTAAAAGAAAAAATTAAAAGTGAATATAGGAAAGACTAAGGTTATGAGGATAACAAAAAGATTAGGTGATGAAAGATTGGATATCAGATTGGAGGGAGAGAGTATGGAGGAGGTGAATATATTCAGATATTTAGGAGTGGACATGTCAGCAGATGGGTCTATGAAGGATGAGGTGAATCACAGAATCGATGAGGGGAAAAGGGTGAGTGGTGCACTTAGCACTCTGTGGAGTCAAAGAACTTTGTCCATGGAAGCAAAGAGGGAAATGTATGAGAGTATAGTTGTACCAACACTCTTGTAATGGTGTGAAGCATGGGTGATGAATGTTGCAACGAGGAGAAGGCTGGGGGCAGTGGAGATGTCATATCTGAGGGCAATGTGTGGTGTGAATATAATGCAGAGAATTCGTAGTTTGGAAATTAGGTGGTGTGGGATTACCAAAACTATTATCCAGAGGGCTGAGGAGGGGTTGTTGAGGTGGTTCGGACATGTAGAGAGAATGGAACAAAACAGAATGACTTCAAGAGTGTATAAATCTGTAGTGGAGGGAAGGCAGGGTAGGGGTCGGCCTAGGAAGGGTTGGAGGGAGGGGGTAAAGGAGGTTTTGTGTGCGAGGGGCTTGGACTTCCAGCAAGCGTGCATGAGCATATTTGATAGGAGTGAATAGAGACAAATGGTTTCTAATACTTGATGTGCTGTTAGAGTGCAAGCAAAGTAACATTTATGAAGGAATTCAGGGAAACCAGCAGGCCAGACTTGAGTCCTGGAGATGGGAAGTACAGTGTCTACACTCTGAAGGAGGGGTGTTAATGTTGCAGTTTTATAACTGTAGTGTAAAGCACCCCTCTGGTAAGACAGTGATGGAGTGAATGATTAAAGTTGTTCTTTTTCAGGCCACCCTGCCTTGGTGGGAATCAGCCGATGTGTTAATAAATAAAAAAATAATTACTAGATGGCCACCTTGAACTTAATTTAAAATTCTGAGTAATAAATAGTAACAGTACATTATATATGAAGAAAAGGGTATGATATGAACTCTTTCAGTACAAAGATCTTGACTTTAAATCAAGCTGTGCATCAGTCTGACCATGGAAGTTGAAATTTCACTGGTCACTTAAAACCTTTTTTAAATATTATGCATTGTGCTATTATAGTTCAAGAGCCAAGGTGAAATTTCAGCATGGTAAGTGGTGCAGTCTGTTGGCCAGAGTTAAAGTTACAAAAGTTTATATATCTCAGTGGACCACTCACTCACACACATGTTCATCCCTATATTCATATAAGTACCCTTCTTCAGTGATAAATACGTAATTTGTTTTAAAACTTAGTCTATATAATTGTGAAAATAATTTATACAGCCTCTCCTCACTTAGCAGACGTACTCGTTTACCGACAACTCAGACTTACGACGGGCTCTCTGACCAGCATGCATACCTAAATAATGTATATTAGAGCTGATTTCCTCTATTCTGTTTATTACAATATACAGTATACTACTGTATAAACATTTAAAAATATACCAGAAATATTATAAAAGGTGCAAAGGTGACATTAAAATAATATCAAAGAAGGGTGACACAAACCCCCTACCATTATAATATGCTCCTCGCTTAGCAACGAATTTGTTTACCGATGTGATCTTAGGAACGGAACTCCGTCGTTAAGTAAGGAGAGGCTGTATTTGAAATTAGGCAATATGGCATGAATATATTGTAAGATACACTGTGAACATTTTTTTCAGCAATGTTCTAGCCAATGTTAAAATGTTATAAGAAGTTAGCCAGAATCTCACAGGAGTTCCTCTCTATTATAAAATGGCCAATATCCCACAGGAGATACTGGCCAGCCAGCTGACTGGCTGGCTGGGTAGGGGTAGGGGTAGGGGTCCTGGGTGTAGCTTTCAAGAAGAATCCCATTATGCGTATGTTTACCTGAATAAACTGACTGACATGTTCAGCCAGCCAGCCAGCCAGCCGAACACATCAGTCCGTCAGTTTATTCAGGTAAACATACACATAATGGTATTCTTCTTGAAAGCTACACCCAGGACCGCTACAAGTCCTTCCATTTCCTCACCGTTATCTCCCTTACCTGAGCCCTCTACAGCTCCTGATAACCTTGCTGATAACTCCAATAATGATGCTGATGACCTTTTCCTTATTCAGAATAAATAAAAATGATTACCTGTATTTACAGTATGCAAATCCTAAGTAATGTATATTACAGCTGATTTCCTCTATTCTGTTTATTACGGTATACACTACACTACTGAATAACATTTAAAAATAAACTAAAAATGTTTTAAATGGTGCAGAGGTGATATTAAAACAGTATCTAAAGATGGTTGACACAAACCCACTACCAGTACAGTATGTCCTGAAATATCAGTAAGTGGCAGCTCTTCGCTTATCGACCAATTCGCTTACAACCTACTCATAGGAATGGAACACGGTCGTTAAGTGAGGAGTGCCTGTACTCAAGCATAAGAGGAAGCTGCACTTTTCTTATCATCAGAAATACTTATAGAATTTAAGTTAATATTTATATTAATAAACTCTTTACCAATTCTTGGAAGTACAGTGATGGTAATTTTGTTGGGGGTGGTGGTACGAGTGTAAGAAACAGGAGGCCCAACACTGGTGAGAACTGTCAGTATCAGCTGATCAAATGTTGCAGGAACATCAAACCTGCGCACCTCCACCATCACTCCTGGCCCAGACACTGATGTGTTCTCCACTTGATCTCCACCACCCTACCAATAACAAGATTTATCAGATGCTGTACATGAGATAAATACTAAAAAGAATAATTCATAACTGGGAATTTTGCTTTTCATATGACAAAAATAAATTTTTAAGTAAACTAAATTCTACATCTACAATTTTTTTTCACCATGGTCATTATTTTCTACCAAGGTAGGGTGACCCAAGCAAGGAGATTATTCATATTTCTTTTCATATCTTTTATTATATAAATCCTTTAGACTTTTAATGCAAACTCTTTTATTATATAAATCTGCAAGACATTTTATAACACAAATTTATAGGACCTTTAACTTTAAGGTTACAACCCCTGCTTTCAAACTTGCTCTCAGGGCTGGAAAATTTTCAAACAAAAAAAATATTGTTTTTTTCATATGAAATGGTAGGGAATCTTTTCTGAAGGTAATAAAACAGAAAGTATAAAATTTGAAGGAAAACTGACGAAATTATGCTTTCACAAATTTTGCTGTCAGCAATATTTATGCAGCTGCAATTTGGTCCACTTTGAGTCTAATTTTAGGTCAATTTCATTGATCAAGTTGACAAAATTCTTAGTTATTTAGTATGTCATCCATTCTATCAACTGAGTACAAGAAACTGCCCATTCAATTATTTAAACTGCTTAATAAAGTGATCAGAAATTGGTAATTTGGCCAATCTCACACAAAATTCAAGAAATGCCAATTTCAATATAGGGTTCAGAATAAACAATGCAGACATTCCTGGCACTAAAATAACATGTCCAATGTTCATCAGTCATGTCCCCCAGGCCTCCCCTATATTACACTTGCTTTCCATTTTGAATTGTTAGTCTCACAAAAAATAGATTTACTATATGCAGACTATTGTATTATTATAATAATTGTATAATGTCAGTGCATTCATAAATGCATATTAGAGTGGCCAGATGGATGTGTATTAGACGAGTGACGTCATTTGCGTACTCCAGGAATATCGCCAAAAATCGAACATTTCTGCTACTTTGCGCTCATTTCAACCTACTTTCAGTATAAAACCAATCAAAATCATCTCTATTTCTGTAATATATCTTCCATTCTGTCAAATGAGATCAAGACACCGAGAATAGAACCATAAATACCATACAAAATTACACCACAAACTTGCTGTTTTAAACCAAAAATGTAGCTGAAGCTTTTTTTTCCTATTATGCACTGCTTGCTACAGGACTTCTTTTTTATATGGTGAACACTTATTAAATACACTTCTCTCATATCTAGGCCCAAATTTACTGCTCACAGCTTATTTGAGTGAGCTGAGGTAATGGCATAGTACTACGGGACCGACACTGGCTTCAAAGCTGTAGAATTGTTTTCAAATATTAATAATTTTATTCTGCTTCTCTACATCTAGGTCTAATTTTGGTGAATATCTTTTGCACATTTAAAATATGTACTGTAGTATGGAAGCTTTACACATCACAATTCTACTTAAAAAAAATAGTTGGCATAAGATAAAAAAAAAAAAAAATATGATCAGGACATACAAAAGAGGTCCACTGTTGTTAAAATCATTATATTGTTGGTTTATAACATACAAGCTATTTATTTGTATAGAAAACAATAGTACAAATGATGCTTATTTTTGTATATATTTGTACTACACTCCTTGGGGAAGCAGAAAAGAATTCTTCCTCTGTAAGCCATGTGTGTCGTAAGAGGTAACTAAAATGCCAAATTAAAATGCCAAAATTACCAAATTTAGAAAGAAAAACTTTTGTTTTTCTCTTAGGTCACCATGGGCCCAAAGAAGGCTCCTAGTGCCAGGCCTTTGGTAAAGAAGGAAAGAAACATGATAGAATTCAAGAAAAAACTTGTAGCAAAGTACCAAAGTGGAGGAGGAAGAGAGAGGGGAGAATGTGCCTTCTTCAGTGATTCAGTGATTCTACGACATGTATGATACTAAAGCAGCAGGTATCGATAAAGGCTATAGAGCCAGCCAGCGAAAAAGTGTAGTATTAACAGTGTAGCAAGTAAGTTAAGCAATTGACAGAAAAACGACACGAAAGTAACTCTCCAATGTTGTTGGCGTATAGGGCCACTGAACATATGCCGCCCTGCTATCTTCCACCACCCTAAACCTCTGCCAGCATCTCCTCCATCAAACTAATTAAACTAACATCTCATCCAAGGTAAGTGTAAATGTTTCAGTGTGAAAAGTGTTGGTGGCTTCTGCTGCCGCCTCCACCACCACTAATATGTACGGCTTCTCTCAGTGGCCTTTATAAACCCAACAACAAAACTACCAACACTTACTCCTCACATATGTTATGACATATTTTATTCATTCTAGAGTATATATCATGTTTCTATGTTATTAATATTCTTTATTATGTCATACTAGATGAATTTTGATAGATAAATAACCAGCAGAGATGATATTAGCGTCATATTGAAGCATAAATTCGCCTCCCTCTCCCCTCCTACCTGTCTGCCATACACCAACAAGACTCTTCAATAAAGGTATGTGATGTTAAATGCTCATGTATCCATTATATTAGTGTTTTATATTCATTTGTCATTATTTTCTGTATGTGAATCTACATTTAATCTTTAAAAAAATATTTTTTGTTAATACTTTTGGGTGTCTGAAACGGATTAATTGGATTTCCATTATTTCTTATGGGGAAAATGGTTTCGCCAGTCGTGAATTTCACCATTCACCAGACTCTCTGGAACAGATTAATCATGAAACTCGGGGGTCCACTGTATATGTATATGCATATGTATGTATGTATGTATGTATGTATGTATGTATGTATGTATGTATATACAGTGGACCCTCAGCTAACGATATTAATCCGCTCCTGAGAGCTCATTGTTAGACAAAATTATCATTAGCCAAATTAATTTTCCCCATTAGAAATAATGGAAATCCAATTAATACATTCCAGGCAGCCAAAAGTATTAAAAAAAATAATTGTTTCATGAAATATACATTTCCCTACAAAGAAAACAATGAGACATGCACAATAACTATATAAATAAATGTTAAAATGACACTTACCTTTATTGAAGAGTACTGATGAGTGATGAGACACTGTTTTTCTTGAACACTCTGGGATTTTCAGAGTGATACATGAGTAAAGGCTTCACTTTGCAATCCCCACTAGCATTACAAGAAAACATGAGAGTTAGCCTGTCTTTCATAGGGTTGTGTCCTGGGAGTGCCTTTTCCTCCTGAGTAATGTAGGTCCTGTTTGGCATTTTCTTCCAGAACAGGCCTGTTTCATCACAATTAAACACTTGTTCGGGTTGGAATTTTTCAGCTTCACCATGCCTTATCACACTGTGTATGCCACTACAATTCTTAAATCTCTCAAACCAACCTTTGCTGGCCTTAAATTCACCAATATGAGCACTAGTTCCAAGCATTTTTTCCTGTTCACCTGAGTGTTAGTCAACTGGTGTGGGTCGCCTCCTGGGGGACAAGATTAAGGACCCCAATGGAAATAAGTTAGACAGTCCTCAATGACTCACTGACTTTCTTGGGTTATCCTGGATGGCTAACCCTCTGGGGTTAATTGTTTCTTGGTAATTGTTTCTCGTTAAGCCACACCAACAACAGTCTCTCCACATCTTCGAGTAGTACAGCTGACGGTAGTGCAGCAACAGCTGATGGTGGTGCAGCAGCAGCTAACCGTGTACTATAGTATTTCAATAGTATTTCTCACCCATTTTACCATAGGGTTGGCACTAGAAGCTTTCTTTGGGCCCATGGTGGCTAAAATAGCAGTTACAAGCACTATAAACAATGGAATAATACAAAATGTATTGAATGTATGCATGAAACCGGCCACCCTGGCTTGTACACAATGACAGCAGGGCAGCTGAGGCGCTCAGGCTGGACGGACAGGTTCGAGACGAATCACGTTGGGTGAGTTTTTTATCGTTAAGCGGGCCAAAATGTTTACGCTGAAATGCTTCATTAGGCGGATTTAACGTTATGTGATGCGTTCGTTAGCCGAGGGTCCACTGTATATACAGTGGACCCCCGCATACCGATGGCATCACATAGCGATTAATCCGCATACCGCTTGCTTTAGTCGCAAAAATTTTGCCTCACATACCGCTTAAAAACCCGCTCACCGATTTTCGTCCGAGACGCGTCCAATGTGCTGCCTGAGCCACGCTCACAAAGTTCCGCCGGTGGCATTGTTTACCAGCCAGCCTCCGCAGTAACATCCAAGCATACAATCGGAATATTTCGTATTATTACAGTGTTTTCGGTGCTTTTTCTGGAAAATAAGTGACCATGGGCCCCAAGAAAGCTTCTAGTGCCAACCCTACAGCAATAAGGGTGAGAATTACAATAGAGATGAAGAAAAGATCATTGATAAGTATGAAAGTGGAGTGCGTGTCTCCGAGCTGGCCAGGTTGTATAATAAACCCCAATCAACCATCGCTACTATTGGTGGAACAGCTGCTGCTGCTGCTGCACTGTCAGCTGCTGCTGCTGCACTGTCAGCTGCTGCTGCTGCTGTAGCATCGTCTGCTGCTGCTGTAACATCGTCTGTTGCTGCTGTAGCGTCGTCTGTTGCTGCTGTACCACCGTCAGCTGCTGCTGCTGCTGTAGCATCGTCTGCTGCTGCTGTAACATCGTCTGTTGCTGCTGTACCACCGTCAGCTGCTGCTGCTGCTGTAGCATCGTCTGCTGCTGCTGTAACATCGTCAGCTGCTGCTGCTGCTGTAGCATCGTCTGCTGCTGCTGTAACATCGTCTGTTGCTGCTGTAGCATCGTCTGCTGCTGCTGTAGCATCGTCTGTTGCTGCTGTACCACCGTCAGCTGCTGCTGCTGCTGTAGCATCGTCTGCTGCTGCTGTAGCATCGTCTGCTGCTGCTGTAGCATCGTCTGTTGCTGCTGTACCACCGTCAGCTGCTGCTGCTGCTGTAGCATCGTCTGCTGCTGCTGTAGCATCGTCTGCTGCTGCTGTAGCATCGTCTGTTGCTGCTGTACCACCGTCAGCTGCTGC